GAGTTCCAGGTTTCATTTTTTTTGTATAGGGCTCAATTGTTTGTTTGTTTTGGCTCCAAAGTTAGTTGTTAAGGCAAGGGGGCAGTTGTTAGGTAGGGGTAAGGAAGGGTTTGTTTGGTAGAGTTAGGGAGGGAGCTTGGTTGGGCTCTGGGGCTGTTTGTTTGGCTTGGTGTAGGTTGGATGAGATGTTTGCTTGCTAGGCCTTCAGTTACACAACTGATTTATGTCCGGTTACACAATTGGTGGGTCTTCGGTTACACAACTGGTCGGGCTCCGGTTTTAAACTGGTCGGGCTCCGGGGGTGTCACCAGGGCTTCGGGTTGTGCATAATCGGGCTTCAGTTCGTGTATGTTTGTGCTTCAGATGTTGTTTGTTCAGTTCGTTCATGCTAGGCTTGCGGTTACACAACTGGTCGGGGTCCGGTTACACAACTGGTCGGGCTCCAGTTACACAACTGGTCGGGCTCCGGTTACATAACTGGTCGGGCTCCGGTTACACAACTGGTCGGGCTCCGGTTACGCAACTGGTCGGGCTCCGGGGGTGTCACTTGGGACTTGGGTTGTGCATGGTCGGGCTTCGGTTCGTGCATGGTTGTGCTCCAGGGGTTGTGTGCTAGTACCTCATGTTTCATTGCTAGATCATCATGGTTGTTTCTTTGCTTGATCATCATGGTTGTTTCTTTGCTTGATCATCATGGTTGTTTCTTTGCTTGATCATCATGGTTGTTTCTTTGCTTGATCATCATGGTAGTTTCTTTGCTATGGCTGAGTGCATGTTTATTTTGTAGGGTTTCATTGTTGTATTTTTGCAAGAGTTCCAGGTTTCATTTTTTTGTATAGGGCTCAATTGTTTGTTTGTTTTGGCTCCAAAGTTAGTTGTTAAGGCAAGGGGGCAGTTGTTAGGTAGGGTAAGGAAGGGTTTGTTTGGTAGAGGTAGGGAGGGAGCTTGGCTGGGGTCTGGGGCTGTTTGTTAGGCTTGGTGTGGGTCGGATGAGATGTTTGCTTGCTAGGCCTTCAGTTACACAACTGATTTATGTCCGGTTACACAATTGGTGGGTCTTCGGTTACACAACTGGTCGGGCTCCGGTTTTAAACTGGTCGGGCTCCGGGGGTGTCACCAGGGCTTCGGGTTGTGCATAATCGGGCTTCAGTTCGTGTATGTTTGTGCTTCAGATGTTGTTTGTTCAGTTCGTTCATGCTAGGCTTGCGGTTACACAACTGGTCGGGGTCCGGTTACACAACTGGTCGGGCTCCAGTTACACAACTGGTCGGGCTCCGGTTACATAACTGGTCGGGCTCCGGTTACACAACTGGTCGGGCTCCGGTTACGCAACTGGTCGGGCTCCGGGGGTGTCACTTGGGACTTGGGTTGTGCATGGTCGGGCTTCGGTTCGTGCATGGTTGTGCTCCAGGGGTGTGTGCTAGTACCTATGTACCATCATGTTTCTTTGCTAGATCATCATGGTTGTTTCTTTGCTTGATCATCATGGTTGTTTCTTTGCTTGATCATCATGTTTCTTTGCTTGATCATCATGGTTGTTTCTTTGGTTGTTTCTTTGCTATGGCTGAGTGCATGTTTATTTTGTAGGGTTTCATTGTTGTATTTTTGCAAGAGTTCCAGGTTTCATTTTTTTTGTATAGGGCTCAATTGTTTGTTTGTTTTGGCTCCAAAGTTAGTTGTTAAGGCAAGGGGGAAGTTGTTAGGTAGGGGTAAGGAAGGGTTTGTTTGGTAGAGATAGGGAGGGAGCTTGGTTGGGCTCTGGGGCTGTTTGTTTGGCTTGGTGTAGGTTGGATGAGATGTTTGCTTGCTAGGCCTTCAGTTACACAACTGATTTATGTCCGGTTACACAATTGGTGGGTCTTCGGTTACACAACTGGTCGGGCTCCGGTTTTAAACTGGTCGGGCTCCGGGGGTGTCACCAGGGCTTCGGGTTGTGCATAATCGGGCTTCAGTTCGTGTATGTTTGTGCTTCAGATGTTGTTTGTTCAGTTCGTTCATGCTAGGCTTGCGGTTACACAACTGGTCGGGGTCCGGTTACACAACTGGTCGGGCTCCAGTTACACAACTGGTCGGGCTCCGGTTACATAACTGGTCGGGCTCCGGTTACACAACTGGTATGGCTCCGGTTACGCAACTGGTCGGGCTCCGGGGGTGTCACTTGGGACTTGGGTTGTGCATGGTCGGGCTTCGGTTCGTGCATGGTTGTGCTCCAGGGGTTGTGTGCTAGTACCTCATGTTTCTTTGCTAGATCATCATGGTTGTTTCTTTGCTTGATCATCATGGTTGTTTCTTTGCTTCATCATCATGGTTGTTTCTTTGCTTGATCATCATGGTTGTTTCTTTGCTTGATCATCATGGTAGTTTCTTTGCTATGGCTGAGTGCATGTTTATTTTGTAGGGTTTCATTGTTGTATTTTTGCAAGAGTTCCAGGTTTCATTTTTTTGTATAGGGCTCAATTGTTTGTTTGTTTTGGCTCCAAAGTTAGTTGTTAAGGCAAGGGGGCAGTTGTTAGGTAGGGGTAAGGAAGGGTTTGTTTGGTAGAGGTAGGGAGGGAGCTTGGCTGGGGTCTGGGGCTGTTTGTTAGGCTTGGTGTGGGTCGGATGAGATGTTTGCTTGCTAGGCCTTCAGTTACACAACTGATTTATGTCCGGTTACACAATTGGTGGGTCTTCGGTTACACAACTGGTCGGGCTCCGGTTTTAAACTGGTCGGGCTCCGGGGGTGTCACCAGGGCTTCGGGTTGTACATAATCGGGCTTCAGTTCGTGTATGTTTGTGCTTCAGATGTTGTTTGTTCAGTTCGTTCATGCTAGGCTTGCGGTTACACAACTGGTCGGGGTCCGGTTACACAACTGGTCGGGCTCCAGTTACACAACTGGTCGGGCTCCGGTTACATAACTGGTCGGGCTCCGGTTACACAACTGGTCGGGCTCCGGTTACGCAACTGGTCGGGCTCCGGGGGTGTCACTTGGGACTTGGGTTGTGCATGGTCGGGCTTCGGTTCGTGCATGGTTGTGCTCCAGGGGTTGTGTGCTAGTACCTCATGTTTCATTGCTAGATCATCATGGTTGTTTCTTTGCTTGATCATCATGGTTGTTTCTTTGCTTGATCATCATGGTTGTTTCTTTGCTTGATCATCATGGTTGTTTCTTTGCTTGATCATCATGGTAGTTTCTTTGCTATGGCTGAGTGCATGTTTATTTTGTAGGGTTTCATTGTTGTATTTTTGCAAGAGTTCCAGGTTTCATTTTTTTGTATAGGGCTCAATTGTTTGTTTGTTTTGGCTCCAAAGTTAGTTGTTAAGGCAAGGGGGCAGTTGTTAGGTAGGGGTAAGGAAGGGTTTGTTTGGTAGAGGTAGGGAGGGAGCTTGGCTGGGGTCTGGGGCTGTTTGTTAGGCTTGGTGTGGGTCGGATGAGATGTTTGCTTGCTAGGCCTTCAGTTACACAACTGATTTATGTCCGGTTACACAATTGGTGGGTCTTCGGTTACACAACTGGTCGGGCTCCGGTTTTAAACTGGTCGGGCTCCGGGGGTGTCACCAGGGCTTCGGGTTGTGCATAATCGGGCTTCAGTTCGTGTATGTTTGTGCTTCAGATGTTGTTTGTTCAGTTCGTTCATGCTAGGCTTGCGGTTACACAACTGGTCGGGGTCCGGTTACACAACTGGTCGGGCTCCAGTTACACAACTGGTCGGGCTCCGGTTACATAACTGGTCGGGCTCCGGTTACACAACTGGTCGGGCTCCGGTTACGCAACTGGTCGGGCTCCGGGGGTGTCACTTGGGACTTGGGTTGTGCATGGTCGGGCTTCGGTTCGTGCATGGTTGTGCTCCAGGGGTTGTGTGCTAGTACCTCATGTTTCTTTGCTAGATCATCATGGTTGTTTCTTTGCTTGATCATCATGGTTGTTTCTTTGCTTGATCATCATGGTTGTTTCTTTGCTTGATCATCATGGTTGTTTCTTTGCTTGATCATCATGGTTGTTTCTTTGCTATGGCTGAGTGCATGTTTATTTTGTAGGGTTTCATTGTTGTATTTTTGCAAGAGTTCCAGGTTTCATTTTTTGTGTATAGGGCTCAATTGTTTGTTTGTTTTGGCTCCAAAGTTAGTTGTTAAGGCAAGGGGGCAGTTGTTAGGTAGGGGTAAGGAAGGGTTTGTTTGGTAGAGGTAGGGAGGGAGCTTGGTTGGGCTCTGGGGCTGTTTGTTTGGCTTGGTGTGGGTTGGATGAGATGTTTGCTTGCTAGGCTTGCGGTTACACAACAGGTTGAGGTCCGGTTACACAACTGGTCAGGCTTTGGTTACACAACTGGTCGGGCTCCGATTACAAAACTTGTCGGGCTCCGGGGGTGTGTAGTGTGTGTGTGTAGAAATATTAATAAAACAATTAGCATCGTGTTGTGTACTCTGTATATCAAAATCTATTACTTTGAAACCCGTATCAGTCACTAAACAAAAAATTGGGCTACTCTTATTACAAATTGGCTACTTTTAGATCGTCAGCTTGCTACTTCCAGCCATTTGGAGCTGGCAACCTCCTTATCTGAATTCTGAGACGTGACTCATCGGATGTTGCTGCCGGGGTAGACATTAGTCACATTTCCTTTATTGTCAAGCTCCATCCCTAATACAATGTTTTTAACCACCACAATTACTCTAAATCCGTTTTGATTAACCATTCGTCTCATTTGCTGTTAAATAATCTCCACTGGGTGGTGGGGGGAGGTTGAAATTGAAATTGAAATAAGTTTATTGAGGTAAAATACACACAAAGGGATGAAGTAGCTCAAGCTATTCTCACCCCGTTCAGTATATCGTGTTAATACATACAAATACACACATCACAAACAATAAACATATTACCAAACATTCTGAGAGATAAACGTCTACATTTCCTTGGGTGGGAGGGGGGGTCATTATTTCTAATAATGAATGAGTATTTAGTTGGTGGAGAGGAGATAGTGACGTAGGTAAGGGAGGATGAGCCCGGATTGTGGTACGAAAACGGTGGCGGTGTAGTTATTGGGGGCGGCGCTAGGGGGCTCCACTGGTACCCAAACACACACACCACTTTGTCAACAGGGAAAGTCTGACTCATCTGTCACTTTTTTGGGGGTTACCCGCGCCTCCAAATTTCGATGGACGGCCACGTTAACATAGACAGAGATGACAAAGTCGTGGCGGTGGAAGAGGGTGTTGGGAAAGGGATGAAAAAGAAAAGGAAGTCTCAGAACCAAGAGGATGCGTCAGGAGGGCAGCCACCCACACACACCATACAGCCTGGGGCCCAGGTACGTGTTGGGGCGGGGGGACCTTTAAGTCGCACATAGGCCTCTCGCATGGACGCTCTTTTATAACTCCTGAAACTACATATTAGGCCTGGCTCAATTTGGTTAGGTTAGGTTAGGCAGAGTTCAAAATTAGGCTGGGTTATGTTAGGCAGAGTTCAATTAGACTGGGTTAGGTTAGGCAGGGTCCATTTAGGCTGGGTTAGGTTAGGCTGGGTTAGGTTAGGCTGGGTTAGGTTTGGCTGGGTTAGGTTAGGCTGGGTTAGGTTTGGCTGCGTTCGGCTAGGCTGGGTTAAGCAAGGGCAACTTATCCACACAGGGAAATACTTGGTAGCTTTGCGAGAATATAAAGATCAAACCCAATTGTATGTATTTTCACACCCCAATGTTCCTTCTTGTACAGTATATATATATAAATAAATATAAATATAGTAACTACCTTATACTGAGAAACATTAATATTTGACCCTCATTTCTAACCCTGTTAGAATTTTATGACAAGTCAATGCAGACATTTTTATTATGCAGTTGCTTTAGGGTGTCATGCCACTTCTCTTGTGAGTGCATTTAAATGTACTTGTTGTCAAAATATACTGTAGTGTAAATAAGGAATGTTTAAGAAATATAAATTTGGAAACCAAATAACTTACTCCAACATACCTTACAGTTAAATACTGCTATTATTTTGGCTTAGAAGAGTGATGTTATTTGTATAAAATTGGGTATTTCAGGCATATTTGTAAGGCTTATGTGATTGGATAACTGCATTTATTTGTAAATTTGTCTGACATAAAGTTTCATGTTAGTAAACCTCTGAAGTAAAAATGCTCATTTTCCTCATAAGCTCATTTAAGGCCTATGTCAGTTTTCTGTTATCTCCCACCAGTTAACTAGTAAGAGGCTAGGGTTTCTTATACAAGGAATAACTTAAAACAACTAAAAATCTCTGCAGTGTGACTGTCAAATATAAAGTTTTCTTATGTTCGATAAAGGTTACCTTTCTTTCTAACTGGTTTAACATCTTCAATAGATTAATGGAAATTACAAAAACATTATTCAATAGATTACATTTATATTTAAGTACTGAACTTTAATATTAAAATAGCATGTGAGAAACTTCCCGAAAGAATGACTTATTTTGAGACTAGTATACAGAAACACACACCCTATCTACTAATGGCAAGAAAAACATGGTAATTTTGAAAGGAAATTTATTAAACCTTGAAGTCCATCTTTTATGCCAGCATATATTTAGTGTACATGTAATCTAATATAATGGCTGGTTTACTTCTTGTTTGAAAACAAACTGTGAATATTGTAAAAGAGGAAAGATTATCTCATGAGAAAGGATATTTGTTATTTACATGAATATTTAATCCCTATTACTGTATCCTGTATATCCTTTTGAGTTACCAATGAATTTACTCTTGCAGTATGATGGAGGTTTGGCATTAAATACTGATGCTGCCTTCTCAAATGATCATTTACAAGAAGGTGGTGACGAGGGAGCAGTGAGACGACAGCAGAGAGGAGGGGATCCTGGAGTGCCTGGAGGAGTGCCTGGAGAACAGGATCAAGCTGCACATGGGCGAGGACCCCGGAGGGGAAATACAGTAGTGAGTGCTGGCATTGTTGTTTTAATTTGTATTACTTAATTTTTCTGTAAAAGTCATTCTCTACATAGGAGCCTAGAAGGGAACATGTGCAGTAAATATGACTGAGTCTATAAATGTTTCTCAGAAAGATAAAAAAGTCTCATAAAACATACCTCATAAAACCTCATAAACATACCTCATAAAATGCTTATCTCATAAAACAAGCATTTCTGCTTGTAATTAACTTAAACCATTTGTATAGGTGTAATAAGTACTTAGAGTACAGTATAGTACTTGAATATACTGTACTGAACATTACCTAAAGTATTCTATATTTAAAAACATAAAATATAAAAATAACATTATATAATTTAAAACATTTATTTCTGGTGTCTGGAAAAAATTATAATTACAGTATTTTAGTTTGGCTGTACTGAGGTGAAGAAATGATGGCGTCATATTCTGTAAAATAATTTTTAATAACAAATTTTATAATAGATTTCTCCTTATTCACATATATCTTCCTGGTCCATTAAAATTCTTAAAATTTTGCATAGCATCAATGTTTCTGAACATAGGCATCAGTAAATGGCTGGTGGTGCACCTGAAATGGTGCCAGGTTTTTTAATAATGTCTGGAAAGGTAACTAAGGTTTTCAGGATTTTTTTTCTCAATATGGCAAACGATTGCCTGAGACCTCTAGTGTAGAATAACAAACACATAGGTTATTTAGTCACTCTTGAATATTAGAGGCACTAAATCATTCGCAAACTACAAGAACACCAAAGTTCTGTTCTTTAAGAATGATAGGATCAGTTTAAGAGTTGAAGGGCATCTCTTGTTTAAGAGTAATAATGAATGTGAATAGAATTTTGATGGGATTTAAAGTGAAGGCTCAATTTAGGGAGTCAGGTATAAAATCAAGGTCCAAGCATTTTTGAATGAAATATGTTCAAAATGCTGCTTAAAATTAGGCAGCTTATATTTGTGCAGATGTGATAGTCATTTGGACTTAATAAACCTAACATGTATCCCGTCCCTCATAATGTATATCAGTACTGTACTGTATACAAGTAATACAAGTATTATGTTTGTTTCATCAAATGTGAAGCATTTTCACTTAGTATTCTAGTAAATAGGCAGTGTTCTTGAGCTTAAAGTAAGTCTGATTTTCTAGGAAGCTGGACAAAATCGACAACCACCTGGAGAGTGGGAAGAGGTTGAAGAGGAGGAGGAGGAGCTCAAGTATGGAGCACAACATGTAATCAAGCTGTTCATACCAGTGTCTCTGTGTATGATTGTTGTGGTTGCCACTGTATCTTCAGTAACATTTTACACAGAGAAAGGAGCATACCTGTAAGTCTTTGTTGTAAAGATTTAAAATGTTCATATTTGAAATATTTCATGAAACCATACCAAAACAGGTGCATCATTAAAGGCAAAAACTTAAGTACTATTTTCATTGTAAAGTACTGTACGGTATGGAATGGTATATGATACTCATTCTCACTCATTAAAACTCTCATATAAACATACTGTATGTACAGTATAAAATATTTTTATTGATTATATTATTTTGTTTTATATTGCAGATTGTACACACCATTTCATGAAGAATCCCAAAGCATTGGGGATAAAGTGTACGATGCTCTGCGTAATGCACTTATTCTCCTCGGTGTTGTGGTCATTTTAACCATTGTGCTTATATTTCTTTACAAAAAACGCTGTTATAAGGTAAGAATGTTTGTGTAGGCAGTTGCCATTATTAGTGCTGCAGTATTTTATTTTTGTTTGTACCCAGTTCAATGTCAGTAATTGTTTATCTGAGCAAGGTATCCTTAATAGCTCGTCTTGTTAAATGCCCTGAACCTGTTTAAGGTAGTGTACTAATAATCCATTAGGCTATAAGCAATTCAAGCCTCAGAATGACAAGTATATTTGTAAATGCTTGTCGTCCTAATGAACGGTGCAGCAAATTAAATGAAGAGGATAATTTAACTATCCCCAAAGTTACCCCAACCAACACATCACAAAAATGGAGAAACGACAATGTTTCGGTCCGTCCTGGACCATTATCACGTCGACTCTCACATGACTTGATATTTAGTCCAGGACAGACCAAAACGTTATCGTTTCTCCATTTTTCTGATGTGTGATTTGGTCATCAATTCAAATGATCTACCTCCAAATGATTCTTTAACATTTTAAAAAAGAGTGATTGTGAGGGTTGTGCAAGGCAGCCATCTTACTTTTAGCCTAGTGCCTTGTTTTGACAAGTTCCCTTGGTCAAGGATGATGATGTGTATCTTGTTATGCCTTAGGGTTCTGCATCAGCATTTGTCTGGGATTTTCAGGATTCAATTCCATTGGTACCTCCAATTCATTCACTAAAATTTTTCATGGATGAATTGAAACTAAGGTGGGATTTGTCTCCACCCTTTGGTTGTGTCAGTCGGGTCACTGATCTCCAGCGTTACAGCCTTCCCACATTGTAGCTCAAGGTTTAGCATGAGTTTAGATGTCATGCTTGCATATCACTTGCGTGTCTTAGCTATCTGGATTCATTTGAAGTGTACCAAAGGTCTGTTCCTTGAACACAAGCAATTTAGTATGCTCCTTACTTACACGGCATTTGACTCTGGCCGTTTCCTTTCTTCTGGATTCTTGAGGCTTAATTCTCCAGGTGGCTGGAAGGTGGCCATATCCTAATTTCAGTGGATATGCAATACCTATGGCTACCTCAGGTAGATCTGTTTGACCTGTGTGTGAATCCTTAGCTCCTAGCATATGTGGCTGTTTTCCAACTGGGAAGCTTTGCCATTCAGTGCTTTGCAACTGGATTGGAGCAGGTGGTGCTGCTGTGGGACTTTGGTTGCCTAAGCCAGAATTGATAAGTGGGAGGACAGCAGTTAATTTTATATTCTTTGGAACCTTGTGCCTTTCATTGGGATTGTACTCAGAATATAGTACCATTAAGTGGCCTTTTGGCCTGTCCATGGTTGCTGAAGCCTTCCCTTGCCTACAGGTGATGTGAGTCAACGTTTGCCATATACGCAGCGTAATGTGCCTGTTTTCATTATGAAGGGAGATCCCCTGGTTGTTGAAAATGAGGAAAGAGTAGTTTGTAATTTATTTTTTACTGTAGCACTTAAGCCAGCAACCAAAGACAACTAGTTTATGAGCAATTGAGGACAACCCATCTCTTTTTCCTTACAATTTGTAAGACATTATTGTATTCCAGTATCATTATTTTATTGAAATATAAGTTTATAATCACAAGAACACTAATCATAACTTCTGTACATGAGAGTAGCATTGTGGTTTTGTTTCAGATCATCCATGGATGGCTGCTTATGTCCTCTCTACTGCTGCTCTTTATTTTTACCATGATGTACATTCTGTGAGTATTCAGTGCTAGTTATAGTAAACATTTCTTAAGTGCTTTATAAACCTTTGCTACAAAGGAAAGTCAACATTTACAAGAACTTGATGAAAATGAAATTTTTGTAATAATCAAGCAACAAGTAACTTTTGAATGGCTTGATTAATCATGTGGACACAAAATTAATAGAGCATATTGCCCTAAGCTTAGAATTAATCTTTTTAATATTATTTACAATCTATTAAAATGGTGTACAGGGCATATGACTTCCTCTAAATCTGTTCCTTGTAGTTGTACCTTCAGCTTACTTCAACCATTTTCCAAAAATATCTCCCCCCTCCCATTCTCTTCAAGTCTGTCATGTTTTCATTACTTAGTTTTTCTTTCTCCACTTCTTTCTTTACCCTCCTAACATGCACAGTCACATTCATCTGTCACCAAATCTTCCTCTTATGCCACTTTCACTTGATTATTCCTCTGTTTGATTATCCTATATTTCTCTTCTATTTAACCTAAAATCATGCATGTGTTTTGTTCACTGCATTTGCTTTATTTTGTTATGTAATAAAAGCTCTTCTCATGATGCCCTATCGTCTTTATAATTGATGAAGCTTTGAAGCATCTGATTATTTAGGCATCAAATACCCTCTCATTGAATTGCTCTCCATCTATGACTCTTCAGAAGAACTTTTTTTCAGCACTTGTTCTCATAATTAGAAGCTGTGACTTTTTGTTCTCAGAATGTCTTGAATGAGATTTCAAGAGTTCCTCCTTATCATTCTTGTCATAGTTTCTTGTACATGATCATATCACCACTTCTTCCATTGTCTACAAGTTCTAGCATATTTAATGCCTCTAATCTTCCCTCATTGCTATTTCTTTTTTTTTTTTAGTAGGTCTGTAAACTATTTAGTAGCATGTCTCTACATCTCTTCTATTTTATTTACAAGTTTGAAATTAGGATACCATACAACTGCTGCATATAGTATTAGATGAAGTCTTCCCTATGTCATGAATAGTTTTTGAGCATTCTTTACATGTATTTAAAGTCAATTATGAAATTGGACAGAGTAGTGCAGTCTCCTTTTAACATGCCTTGAAAATGAGTTAATAGTGTTTATATATAAACATATGTTTCTTATTTCACAAAGGGAGTTACTGCGTGGGTACAATATTGGGATGGATTGGATCACCGTCGCTATATGTGTGTGGAACTTTGGGGTAATGGGCATGGTGAGCATCCACTGGCATGGTCCCCTACGCCTTCAGCAAGCTTACCTCATATTCATCGCCTCACTGATGTCTCTCATGTTCATCAAGTACCTTCCTGAGTACACCCTCTGGATGGTCCTAGGTGTCATCTCCATCTGGGGTAAGTGTATTGCACGTGTGTTGAGACTGGCTGTATTATTTACATTACATTGTAGCATCATGTTTGATTTACACAGCTGAACACCTCTTGAGTTCAGTCATTATTGTAATGGCTCGTAAAAGTTGTTACAAATATAATTTTAATTCTAATTCTTATTTACATGATGTAAAGAAAACATAAAATACTAAGTTCTTTTCATGGTAAGAGGTTTACGTGATTTTGCATTATCTTGAGATGATGTAAAAATACATTGTCAAAATAAATTTATTTATGTTTTGTATTTTGTTATGTCGGACAGATGTGTAGCTAAAATGATAATTAAGTGAAAATGTATTTAGAGGCCTGAAAGGACTAAATAAAGTCACATGTATGGATTTTGTGGAATGTTATTCAATGGTTGTTCAGTGCATGAATGGATGGGGTCATGTGGAGGTCGAGGTATGACTACTGAAAGAATTGATGGCAAGAGAGTAGTTGAGAGAGAATATTCATATGATTTTCTTTGAAATTTGGTGGTAAAAAAGTCAAGAATAAGTTGGGCTGACATGGCGAGTGTACACAGAGGCACAGATTGAGTGTGAATAGTGCATGAGAATTGGTATGGAATAAGGTAAGAGGCGGTAAATTGATCAGCAGCGTGAATGTTTTAACATTTTTCAAATGACCACTCTTATGAAGCACATAAGTGTTGCATTTCATGCAACACCTTGTTGCATGAAATGATCAAGTGCTGATGTGCATGTATTACCAGAATGGTGCTGGCTCTGTATGGTGCTGCAGTATGTTGGGTGAAAGATATTGTGTTTTGGTGACTTTATTCTCTCTTCTATTTGTTTCCTATTTCTTTCTGGGCTGGTGTGTGTACTCCGCATGAAAGTGGGGAACAGAGTAGTGAAGATGAACGTACAATGTAAAACAGATGAATACAAGTGCATTACTTGGCCTATTAAATATAAAATTTAATTTGTTATTACTAAGCTGTGTGTGTTGCTCATTAAATCTAATTTTTGTAGATTTGATTGCTGTGTTGTCTCCCAGAGGCCCACTACGTATTCTAGTGGAAACGGCTCAGGAGAGAAATGAGCCCATATTTCCTGCACTTATTTACTCTTGTAAGTATTCATTAAAATATGATGGATATGACACTACATATTTATCTTGTACAGTCATTGTAATTTAAGAGTTCCTGCAACTGTGTTCCAGAGCTAGTCCTGATTGTATTTAAAAAGTTTAGTGTTTAGCACCAATGTCCTGATACCAATAATTTTTCCTCATACTGTACTAAATAATCAGAAGTCGTGATTGTGCCATTGTATTAAGCTAAGGATGAATGGTATATGTGAAAAGCTGTAGAAGCATTAATCGTTTGGCTTTTCTTGGCCTAATATATTGTATAAAATTCTTTTCAGCCAATATCATGTACAGCACTTTGGGGATGGCAGAACCTGATGGCAACCTTTCTTCATCAAGATCTCGTGGTAGACAACCTGTTCAAGAAGATGCAGGTACTGTTGGAGATTTAGCAGGTGAGGATGCGGCTGGTGCACAGAGGGATGGAGATATCACCAGGAGGAGGACTGCAGAAAATGGACATACGGCTGCAGATGAAGTGTCAGGTTTCACTGAAGAATGGGCCTTGCACCATGAGGATCGAGCTATCAGGCGACGAGAACAGGTGCCTAAATATTTGAAGCCACTTTGAATGCATCTGTGTCATCAAGAGTTTCTACTCATAACATAGATAGTAGATGATAGTTCCTTCCTGTACCTAACAGAATCTTATTGATTTGTTTGTATATAAATATAAGAATTTTTGTATATAGGCTCTCAGTAAGCTGGTAGAAAGAGAAGACTCCCTAAGCACAGTGAACAGACACTGCAGTGTCTTGACATTACTTACACTGAGCAACATAAAATATACAATACTATACTTTGGTTTACATGTGGTGTGCTGTGGGCTTTTTTAAGTTACCGTATTTCCTGGTAATTGTTAATGTTTATTGATTCTGAATATTTTCTAAATCATCCTTGTCAAATTTCTTTAAAGTTTTAACAATTGTGTTGTATTGGTTGGAATAGTTAGCATTGATCCCTGGAACTGGAAATTAATGGTTTTTGTTTCAATTTGCTATATATTTAGTATGCTGAAGTCTTAGCATATAATGTACACTACTGTACTATAGAATGTTAGACTTGAGGTAGCATTGCTGCAAGGTGATCGTTTTGGTAATATAATTATTTTCATGTTCTTCGTTGGTAGATGGCTTCTGAAGACATATGCCTAGACAACCTCTTGCCCCTTTTGCTATCTAATGCAATTTTTGTTGAGTGCAACTTTCATCCAGCTCGGGATCTAATTTGATGTTGGCATCAGTATTAGCATTGTTATATTTATTATTATTACTATTACCCTATTTCTCACTTTCACGGGGTGAGAACATTTGCTTGATGAACATAGGAAATGAAGGTTGATGATATTTAAAACAAGATCCCTCTTTTCACCATTCTTGGTGATATTTAGCGCCCTCTGATTATTTCGCACTTTGATGGTGCTACATAGCCTTCCCGGTTTGGTGCCTTCTTTTGATAATTGCCTTGCCTTGCCTCTTTTCACCATGTCCTCCACATTTGTACAGCATCAAGAAAATCAGTACCACCATACTAACACATCACTTTACTGCTACATACTACATAAATCTGCAGAAATTATAAAGTGCTCCTTATGAGGTTTCATGTGCAAATGAAAGCATTCACTCCCTTTTAAGAAACTTCTCCCACCTGTTCATGTCCTCAAGCACTACTTGTGTGTTGTATACACTGACTCATTATGTCTAATTTCTTATACCTTAACAGCCAATGTCATTACTGAATTGGAATACATCCTTAAGAACTTCCTAGTGAAACATAACTAATTCTACAGCTTAATTTTTCACTATTCTCTACCTGCTATTTCCTCAGTCCAAAGAAGAGGAGTAGGAGAATGAAATAATTACATGTCATATAAATTCTGATATATTTAAATGTTGTTCTCTAGGTTAATAGTCATGTGCGTGAGCACCCTACAAACGTTGAATACCCACATCCCCATCCTCGTGATATTACTGCTGAGGAAGAGGAAGAAAGTAAGTGCTTGTTTTTATATACATTTTTGCTGTTTCCATCTTATCAAGCAAATAGTTGTTCTATTTACTCTTAAGTGTTGCAATATACTAACTGTGTTCAGAGGTGTTAGGAATGTACTTAGTTGTCAAAAATTATTTAATTTGCTTCACTATTCAGCATGCTCGATTACCAACAGGAGAGAGTGGCATATAAGATGACACGTTGAATGAGAAAAAGCGAAGAATAACTTTCAACATGAATTTGAGTGTGTAAGAGATAAGAAGACAATGAAATAGGCCTGCAGATCAAAGTAGAAATTATCTGGAAAGAGAAAAGATGTTTATATAGTTTCTCTTAGAGTATAGTTATAAGAGATAACCAGCATTGTAAATTTTTAAAGGATAAAACTCAAGTGTAAAAGTTTTAAACAAATATAAAAATAATTAACATGCTGCATCAGTTGCTGAACACAGATTCTTTTCCAGGAGGTGTGAAACTTGGACTTGGAGATTTTATTTTCTACTCTGTTCTGGTTGGCAAAGCTTCCTCATATGGTGACTGGAACACCACCATAGCCTGCTTTATTGCCATTCTCATTGTGAGTAATTATTCAGTACAGTGTATTATAATATAGTATAATAAATACTTTTTGTTGAATTTTAGATTTATCAGGACTATAGCTTAAATACTGTTTAGTTGTACTTATGAGTACTTATTTTTAAATTCGAATTTAAAATACTGTATCTCTAAATTTAACCTGTGTATGGCTGAATAAATACTTCTTAAAAAATCATTTGCAATTTATCCTGTATTGAAAAGTATTTGTATTCTTTGGAAGTATGTTAAAGGGAAACTTGTTATTCTATGTAAATGTCCAGAGTTGTATAAGAAAAGTTGGTGTCGACGGTATGACTGCTGTCCCTCCTAAACATCGCTGCTGATGGCCAAACAGCCAACATTTCCATGCAATTGTGTTATCATTTGTTTTTTATCTTTAGGCAAAACAATGTCATGCATTAGAATTTCAAGTGTTTTCATGGTGGCTTCATAATATAATATTAATAGTATAGTATCTGAAGAATTACAACAAGCCGCTTTCTACCTCCTTGTTCTAATAACCCCCCAAAAATAAGAAAGCACCAGTTCCTATCAGAACATACCCAGCTGGTGTATATTTTGTATGTATATTTCAACATTTGCCTATGAATGTATTAATTTTAATATGATCTTCTCTGACTTTCAGGGGTTGTGCTTGACATTAATCATGCTGGCCATTACCAAGAAAGCTCTGCCGGCCTTGCCCATCTCCATTACATTTGGCCTTATCTTCTACTTCTCCACCTCGCTATTAGTGGTGCCGTTTACAGAGCAGCTTGCAAGTGAACAGTTTTATATATAGTACAAGTTACATATTAAAGCCATTCCGTATATATATATTTAAAAGAAATTTGATATATTCAATATAGTGGGCCATGAACAGTGTATATATATAAAGATTGATGTCTTGTGCACGATGAATTTATGGTGGTACTGTAGTGATGTGGTGGATATTGCAAGGCAAAAGTTACACTGAGAACTTAATTAAAGGGATGTCTGCACACTACAAATACAATACCCAAGATAACAGGGATGTCTGCACACTACAAATACAATACCCAAGATAACAGGGATGTGTGCACACTACAAATACTGTACTATACCCAGGATAACAGGGATTTGTGCACACTTCAAATACAGTACCTAAGAATAGATTTCAAATGAAGAACCAATTTTCAGTGGCTTGTTTCCAAACAAGTCATTCATAATACAGTAGTTATGAAACTAGTAGGGGGCAATAAACTTTATATCAAATATGGCTATAGCTGGTTACCATTGTTAATATTAAGTATTTTATGCCTTTTTTTTTTTTTTAGAATTTGATTTTGTATTGTATAATTAGCTTTTTATCTAAGTCGGTAGATAAGTCAGTAGATAGTACTGCAGTTTGCAGTACTTTGGTAGACATCATATTTTGACTTGTTCAGGAAGCTTTATACTGTATTTGAAAGTGATACATGTGAAGGTCACATACGAAAATTGTTTTTTTTATATATACAAAATTTAGTTCCATAGTAATAGTATAAAATACTGTCCGCTATTGGAAAAACAGGTTTGTTTTCACATTCGACAGTAATACAGTATCCTTGTACCGTATAGGTAAATAATGTATTTGAAGATGTCACTTTGAATGACGCCTTATTTTAATTTTCATGATTTGTTGTTTTTCCATCACAAGCTGGAATAGATTTTAAGAGGTAGCTTCTCTCAAGCGTACCTGGTGAACAACGTCATAATTCACGAAGCATAACTTCTAGTGTGTGGGGGTAAGTCGTAATGTTACCATTCAAGGCTTTATTAGTTGCATAGGACTTTATATAACCACCAGATTTGACTCCCATTGGAGCTAGGAAGTGTAAGAACTTGTACTTCCAAAAATTACACTGTTTTTGGAAAGGCAAATGTTTTAGGCTTTAAATTTCTAGTTTTCATTTTCTTCTAGACTAGGCTTTAATATTTTGATTTCAGTTACAGTATTTCAAGTTTCATGATAAAGTATATTTAGGATGGTATAAATTATGTTTTATTTAAATTTTCAGAATCATTCCTTATTTATCATTAGTTAAGGTATGGTATTGACAAACATGAATTGCCATTTTAATAATTTTTTATTGAATGTCTTGAGAAATTGAATTTAGTGAATTTGCATCAGGAGATATATATGCTGATATGAAGTAACAAGTCAAAGTGTTTTTAAATTAATTTTACCTCATATTGAGGCTTGTTAATGGCAGTAAAGTTTGTATTTCTCATTGCAAGGTTCACATGTAAGTGTGTTGTCAAATCTTCTAACAATTCATCAATAGCAGCTTGCAGACAGAAGTCAGAATCCTTTGCAACTATTTTGGTTACAATATTGATTATTGATAATACTTGCTGGGAAGTAAAGTCTTTTGAAAAATTTCTGTATCAATGACCCTTTCTTCATTCTTGGTTAAATGGGTGGAACAAGCTACAGTCTTTAACCCATTGGCTGTGGGACGGTAACATTATTTTTTATTTGTTAACATTCATTCCTGCTGGGATTGTATGACCTGTACAATATTATGTTTCATTATATGGGGCCAGCATATAGAAGTCAGGTGTTGTCTCTACCTCAGTAAGTGGCTCTGAAGATCGTATGGTCTACTGAAAAATATACATAAACCAGTTGTATTTTTTGTAAATAAAATATTAGGGATTTTTAAATATTTAGATGGTATATTTGATTTACAGTATATATACTGTATATACTTGGATGTAATGATATAAATGGCTTTAAAGTGTGCACATACACATTTGAATACATATGGATGGTGGTGGCAAAAGGAGTATGATTTTGTGAATGCTCTAGACCAGTGCAGGAAATAAGTCACAATAATGTGGCTGCAATAAATAACTTGGCCCATATATGTAAAATGAAAAGAAAGTGATAACATTTTTGGTCTGGTTCATGACCAGGCCTCCTGGTTGCTGGACTTGTCAACCAGGCTGTTGGACATGGCTGCTCGTAGCATGACGTATGAATCACAGCCTGGTTGATCAGGTATGGAGACTGAAGCTGCCTTACCAGACCCCACCGGACTGGTTCCTGCACACCTTTCCAATTCCAAAGAATATTTCTGACCACTCCAGTGTGGTTATATTATCCACTATTTACACAAGTGCATTGAAGAAGACTATTGTCATCACAAATAATTATCACTAATATCATTGAGTAAACAAAAATTTCCTGCCTAAGAGCTGCTGAGGCAATGACAAAGATAGGTTAGAATGATGTGTTATTCTTACAAGCGATTAGGAAGCCACTGGCAGCTTCCCGAGTTTATCAAAACAAGGCCACTCTGCCCCCAAAGACCTCTGATGTTTGGAGGTGCAACCAAATATGTGCAGACTTTATCTACTATTGCCTGTGTGTCGAAGCATTCACAATGTCTGCACACGCCACAAAACTTTAAAGATGCTCATGAATGCAGTCAGCAGCAAACTGGTTAAGTATTTAAGAGCAAATCCTCTATATTCCAGAAAAACATTGAGGTGACATGATAATTAAAATAAATAACTAAAACAACCAATATAAACAATTTAAATTTTTATCTTATAATTTCATGCTTTTTAGTCTAATCTGTAGTCCATCTTCATTATTGTACAGTTCATACAGTAAAATGTTAATAATAAAAAATATTATGCAATAACATTTAGTAATGTAATATTGCATGGTACAAATCCCCTAGAGCCATATCTGAATAAAACCACCTTTTTATAAAATCGATAAAGAAAAAATACATTTTAATATTTAACATGGTAATCAAAAGCATTTGTATATTATACTGATGCTGAATGACTTCATGTTACTGTTACATAAACACCTAATAAAGGTTTATAAATTGAGTTGTGTGTTAGTTTACAAACATGAAGCTAGTGGTATAGATTACTATATTGCATTTTACTTTCAGATTAGTTAATTCTTACGGCTGAGCTTTCACATAACTCTTTTTACACATGATCATCTGTTGGTGTAATACAATGATATATAGACTCGATATTCCCTGGTTGGCTTAAAGGTTAGTACTGTCAGATGCCAGTTATTTGTGACATGCAGTAATGTCCATTAGAAAATAATCTCATTTGTGCATTCTTACCCAGTCACCATTCATACAATACTGAACATTGACGGTTTGAGAAAATCTTGTATTTGTAGTAAAAATAACTTTGATACTGTATTTCATGATTGCATGTATAAGGCATACATAACAAATATAGCTATGCGAGTTATATTTCTTTATAAACTCGGTGCTTGTTTTTATCCAGATTTTAACGCCCATGACAATTTATATATATTTTTTAGGGGAGGGGGGGGGGCTTCTCTATAATTGGCTTTGAATTTCACAATCCATATATTTCGGGCATTAATATTTTATTGTTATTGCATTGCATCAAATTAGTCAAATATATTGATTTATAACCATCAAGGTTATTAATGAGATATTGTCCAAGTTTGTTCCTTATTTGTATATTATTATAAGGCAACAGTATCATCTTGAAAACACTGTACATGGTACTTTGGTGAAAAGAAAACAATGCTCTTATTAAATTTATTTGGCTGCAAAACTTTGGTTTAGGAGTAACTCCCTCTTGATTTAAGTTTCTTAAATTAAGTCCATCTACCTTAACTAAGTTAAGGTAGATGGACATGGTGTACTTGAAGGGGATCAAATTATTGATGGCCATTAAGGCCCAAGATTAACAACTAGCATAAAGATTTCCTTTGACTCAAGCTTAGATTTTCATGCTCACTTTTGTATATTTAAGGTTTTTGTATACAGTATGTATTTTTTATCTATTGTTGTCACTGCTTGTTATAGATTTCTACATAGATGTTCCTAAGAATAAGAACTGGTGCATAACATGAAATTTAGGCTAATTCAGCACATTTGATTAGAGATAACGAAGGAGACTTGTAAACATTGCGTCTCCAATAACCCCGTGACAGGACAGGAGATGCACTGCATCGTAATGTCCTAGTGTGTGTCAGGGAGGGAGGATACTTCTACAGGTTGTGTAAAGTTAATATATTGTATGATGTACCGTACAGTGCTCCCTCAAAAATCCAAACCTCCATATAACAGATACTGGACCTCAAAACAATGAATCAAATATCTGCCCACTAAATTTCCCTTCTGAAATTTAGATTTTCCAAGAAAAAATGCGGATTCCAGAGGAAGGGGTGAAGTGTAATTTAGATCTTTGGTTCATCTCGTGAAGTAATTACCATCAAATCCTTAACTTTTTTTTCATATTTTTGCTAAATTTGTGCCTTTATTTATTATTCTAAATATTAAATTTATGTTTTTAGAAAGCTTTTGCCAAGTTTGCACCATACTCTAAATGGCACAAGCTAGTTTGAGAGTTTGAGTCATCCAGACTTACTGTGAGGGCATGCATACTAACCATCTGTTTTCCTTTACTGTATTTGTGAGTTGAATCCATGCCATCCAGCAATAATAATATGGGGTACAACAGGGAAGGGTAAGATGCACTTCTTTACCATAGATAAGAAGGCTGATTTATTAGAGAAATGTGATCATGACTGTGGAGGCAAGTGCCTGGCATTCATATTAGTGGTGTTTTTGACAGTACAGTGCTATACCTGTACTATAATCTCAGTTGCTGCCACCAGGGGCCAGATTCATGAAAGCACTTATGCAAGCACTTACGAACGTGTATATCTTTCCTCAATCTTTGACGGCTTTGGTTACATTTATTAAACAGTTTACAAGCATGAAAACTTCCCATTCAACTGTTGTTATTGTTATAAACAGCCTCCTGGTACTTCGGAGCTCATTAACTGTTTAATAATTGGAAACAAAGCCGCCAAAGATTGAGAAAAGATGTACAGGTTCGTAAGTGTTTGCGTAAGTGCTTTCATGAATCTGGACCCTGGTTATCAAGACCAGCCTGTGCTACAAAAATGTAAGTGAAGAAATTAATGTTTTGCATTTTTATGTGTAGTTATTTATTTGCAAACAATGTCCTTGTTTATGTATTTGTATGTTGGAATATGTTGAGACATGTTACATCAAACATACAGAATATTTTGTGACAAAAGTGAAAAAAATAAATTTTCTTTTTTAAATCCAAATTTCATGTAATTCCTGATCAGGTCTGGAACAATATGATCTAGATTTTTGAGGAAGCACTGTTTGTACTGTGTAATTGTTAACATAAGAGTATAATTAATAAGGTCATTTGAGTTCTAAAAATACTGTCATTGATCTGAATCTACATAGAATAAATACTGTACATATTTAGGTCTTCTTTCAGAAAGTTTTTTGTCAAAAAATGTGAAGTATTGAAGTAAGTAATGTTAAAATAAGGTAACAAGCATTCTCAGGTACAGGGAGAGACTTCATCTTGGTGATAGATTATGGCACTTTGTAAATGTGGAAGAGAAAAACTCAAGGACGTGTACATGATGATGCAAGATTGCTAACAGTCTGAGAGGTTTTGCAATAAGTAAGGAATCATAGCATAGTATAATTTCAGAATAGAGATACTGTACTGTAATAATATTTGGCTAAGGAAAAGTATAATGGTTGTTTATAAGTGTGTATCAATTGTTTTGGAATACAAAAAGTATGAAACAAATTGCTGAGACGATGTGGAATGCCTCTAGATCGTAATGTTCAGAAAGTTAACAGTGATGATGGAAGGCTTTTGTGAAAAATTAGTGAAGTATCAAGCATATTTTGACTTTGAGATTTGAGTTTTTAATTAAATAAATATTTGATAGAGATGTGTTACTTTTCTGTGACTGATCATAGGTTTGATTCACCGAGAAGAATCATTGAGAGAAAGTGAGAGTATGACATGCAAGCAACAGTATGGAATAGAAAAGTGAAGGTAATCAAGGATGACAAGAAATAATCATTCAAGTATGAACAGGTGAAAAATAAATTTAGATGTCAAATTTTAGAACATGTACTTAAGTTTGGAGTTTATACAGGTTGTTTTGTAGTCTTTTTCACTAATGAATCATGAGTTTAAAAGAATACAAACATGTTTTTTGTTTACTGTATATATTGAGCGAGATCTGTAATAGTGGGAAAATTGACTGAGTATGACTGGAAAGCATTTGATTATTAAAGGGAACTTCGTAAAGATTTCAAACAATGACAGATTATATGTTGTGACGGAATATTCAGCTAGCAGTATTTGAAGACACATTACATTAACATAACAGTAGTCAGAGAAACTGGAAACCTACAATAACTTTCAAGGCTTGTTAAGGTATTTGCTTTGGTTTATAAATTATAGAAGAATGAATACTGTAATGTTAATGGGTATTACAGTAAAATGTGATAATGCCTGGGTGATTCATGCAATAGTGAAGGATGTATTTCCAGCATGCTATTGTTGTGAATGCGCTCTTAAGCTGCAGTGTAAACTCGAGTAATACAGTTGTTATTCAGATTCATGCAGAGTAAGTCATCTACACAAAAAAAAGTACACTCACCTGGACATTTGCTTTAAGTAAAGAGATTTGTCACCATTGATTTTGATTTCTTACAATAAAGTAATTATAAAAATAGTGCTAAGCCAACATGGCAACCCAGTAAGCACATGTTGGGTAAACATCATTGAATCAACATGGCTAACTTTGATTCAATGTTGATTCAATATCTCTCAAGCATGTTTTGCCATCTGGGAATATATCACTAATTGCATACAGAAGAAATTTATATTAGCCACTCAAGAGTGTTTTAAGTTAAATATGTTTTCCTGTGGCAATGACTGCTTTTCATGTTTGACAATTCATTTTTTGAGCTATTAATGGAAGATGTATAGTTGTTTCTATATTGGGACTTTAAAAATAAACCCTTTTATAATATACATTTTTGGAAATAAATGGTCTATTATAATATTTGTTGCTTTAGGCTGAGTTTGATCTGGAGTGACATAGGAAGTGTAGCAATTTTAAACTGCCAAAATGTTCACTTAGCAGACCACCTCACATACTTGGTCGGAGGGTAATTGTTTTCTGTGGTGTGTTGTCTGTGTAGGCCAATGAGTTTACCATTCATTGGGTTTACAGTGGCATTTATATATGAGGAGGTTTTGTGTGATAGTATTGTTACTTGGTTTCCATCTTTGATAACTTGTCAGGTACCTTAACATTCTGTAATTTTAGAAGGCATCGACTCAGATAACCGAGACTAGTGCCGATACAAACTTTCGATAGTCAGTGCTCTTGTATCCTGCCTGAAAAATTTGTATTATAGCAAGCTATCTTTTACTATACAGTATTTGCATCATATTTTGGGAAGCATTACATTCATGCTTATGCATAGCTCAACATTCCAGCCTCATTGAAAATATTTATTATGATATGAATGGTTATGGTGTGATTGGCTTTATATCATTGTGTAGAACCTGTGTATTTTGTGAGAACTTTCATGTGATTTTAAATAAATATGAGAATCAGTAGATATGTCATGGAATTTATTTAACTTCCTTTTTAATTGACTTCCACTGATAGTACTTATTTACTTTATAGTTAGTTTAGCAAAATCATTTCATTAAATCATGATATGTGATGTCAATATATTAAACATTTTACAGGCCTGTGAAGTCCCATGCACTATGCATTTTAGATCATACTGAGGTGTGTCATAACATAGATCAGCTTAATTTTGCATGAGAATAGAGAAAACTGCAGTCTATTGACCCATGCTAATCAGCTATTTTTGCACCTAACCAAAGTTAGTCATGTGTGTCAAACTTCACTTTAAACAATCCAGTGTTCCAAAATAATCTTCCAATGCAGTGCTTGCTCAGGTCTTTTCTGATTCTAAATTTGTATCATTTGATTTGCATTCTTTATTGTGTTAATAGTTTTAGCATCTTATTATTACATCATTGTATAATATACATCCGCTTGTATAATATCCATCCGCTTGTATAATATACATCCACTTGTATAATATTTTTTTTTTTTTTTTTTTTTTTGAGATATATACAAGAGTTGTTACATTCTTGTACAGCCACTAGTACGTGTAGCGTTTCGGGCAAGTCCTTAATCCTATGGTCCCTGGAATACGATCCCCTGCCGCGAAGAATCGTTACAAAAATATATCTATTTTAAAGTGTGTTCCTAGAAATTAGGGCTCATCAAAAGTATGTAAATGAAAACCTATTTTCCCATAAGATTTAATATGTTGTATGTTCCTTGGAAAATACTGTAGTTAAAATTATGAAATAAATACTGTAACATACAGTTTTAATACAGTATATTGACACTGGGTATAGCCGCAGCAGTGTGTGTCGAAGCTTAGTGGCGGGTGAATGCCCCTTCAACCCTCTGCATTTTTATCTGAGGGAGAAGTGGTATCTGTACGTTGTATATTACTTTGGTTCCTTGTAGTGGTTGATGCTGAGAAGTTTTGTAATCTGTCTTTGTGGTGCTTTCTGAGCATGTGTTTTCTTTTCTTCCTATTTGAAAACAAAAATTATCTTTTAATCATGTGTGCATGTGTTACCTTTCTTCAGAAACATTGCTGAACTAAGCGATTTTATATTCTCTTTTAAAGTTGGTATCAATATTTGTTATTATTGGCAACTGAATCTTTTTACTTCCTCAACCCCTTTGAATACAGAAATAACGATTTTAATAACGATATTAACGAAATAACGATTAAGGTGTCATAGGCACAATCAGAGAGCACTGTATAAACATCAGGGGTCCGCGGTTGTTCAACGTCCTCCCAGCGAGCATAAGAAATATTGCCGGAACAACCGTGGACATCTTCAAGAGAAAACTGGACGGTTTTCTAAGAGAAGTTCCGGATCAGCCGGGCTGTGGTGGGTACGTGGCCCTGCGGGCCGCTCCAAGCAACAGCCTGGTGGACCAAACTCTCACAAGTCGAGCCTGGCCTCGGGCCGGGCTTGGGGAGTAGAAGAACTCCCAGAACCCCATCAACCAGGTATCAACCAGGTAACGAAATTTGCAGTCTTGTTTTTAATAAGAACAAAGGAGGGAAGTTTTCTAGATAGCAAATTAATTATTAAAAAAAAAAGTGCAAAGTCAATACAATGCATACTGTATTACAAAATATTCAGGTTTCTATATATCATTCAGGATGCCAATATTAAAATGACCTTTGACATGTGATCATTGTTAAAGGTCTGATTCACCAAGGATTTTATTGAGCCATAGTGTATATTAACACTGGGAAAGCAAAATGGCAGGTTATCTTTCAGGTTAGAGTACTAACTTCTCAACAGATTTCATTAAAACTTAAAAATACTGTACTGAAAAGAGGAAAAACAACATTTCTCTGGCTAGGAGCCACATACAATTAACTTGTGGGCTGGTTCATGTCAGTTTTTTTCAATTCATCAGAATTGCATTGTTCTGCTATTAGTCATGGACTATCTGTAGAATGTCCTGATTTTCAAGATCTTAAATATTGTCCCATTGTACTGGAGTCAGTTGTCCCTGGACAAAATCCTGTGAACCTGATGCCTTTGATATCTGCTCTTGTATTTGCATCCTGAATATCTATTTGTAAATATACTGAACTCTAACACAGCCTTCCTGGCTTAGGAACTTCATTTGATAATTACTTTTAAAAGTACTGAGTAGTATAGAAAATTATTCTCTATTTTAATTTAAATTTCATTAAGGTGTCTTGCTTCATGAACAGAAAGGTCTTAGGCCTCCACATCACTTCCTAATGGATTCCAGTTATGAATGCATTTGAACACTGACAAGGTTCTTTCTAATACAGTATATCTGTGGTTCATTTGTGTACTATCTTGTGTGATACTATATCTGGATGATTTTCCTCATTGAAATTTAATCATTAATATAAACTTAACTCATTTTTAGTGAACAAAATCTTTACGAGCAACAGTATTGTGAAGTACAGTGCAGTATCAGACACAGGTCAAGACAGCCGCTAACTCCACCAAGGTAAGTTGAAATTTGTTATTGTAGCTCTATCTTAAATTGCCCAACCACTTGGGCTGACGGTAGAGCAACGGTCTTGCTTCGTGCAGGTCGGCGTTCAATCCCCGAACGTCCAAGTGGTTTGGCACCATTCTTTCCCCCTGTCCCATCCCAAATCCTTATCCTGACCCCTTCTCAGTGCTATACATGTATAGTCATAATGGCTTGTCTTTTTCTCCTGGTTGTTCCCTTCCCTATCTTAAATTGTTTGAGGTACATGAAAAATGCAAATTTGTATATAATATTGACATGCCCCTTAAACACCAGGCTAGTGTATGAACTGCCGGATATGAGCCTATATATTCTTGTGGTCGGGATTTGGGGCCAGGCACTGGGTTAAATCCATAAAAATAATTGATTTTGTAAATTTCCATTAAATATAAAGTTTAAGACATGATTACCATTTAAAAAGGTGAAAGGCAGGGCTCCGAAGGCCTTTACTAGCAATTTGGATATCAAAGTTTGTTTGGGATAGGTCTACATTTACACAGTTTTATTTAGGTAGTATTGCATAATAAAAATTTTAGACTGATATAAATACCTTTATTATTCATACTCATTTTATAAAAAAAAAAGTTAATAGCGAGATGAAATTTATACTTACAAAATTAACTTCATTGGTACAGTTTCTTCTCACTTTTTAAATACAGTATCTACAGTTGACTCTTTTACACTTCTTTTGCTGCTTGTGACAATTCTTAGTTCACACACACTTCATCATTCATGCTCTTTACAAAACTGACATAAGCATTCATTCATAATAACACCTCATCACAGAACAGGTAGGGATAATGTTAGACAATATTAAAAAAATAAAAATAAAATAAATATGTAAGAAAGCTGCATGGAATGTAGGTTTATTGCTCTTAAAGTTATGTAAATTATTAAACACATATAGTACAGGCTGATATAATGAAGACTTCTTAAAAAAATTTTGTGAGTGACGATTCTTAATTAATGAGAGCATTTGAAGGATTTTAGTATAACGTATTCGTATTTAATACTGTATAGGCAATCAGAGGCTCATATATTTGATATATTATAATTACTGTATAAATAAAAATGCAATAAATAATACCCAGATGTGACCACCAAATTACCTTCAGAACAACTCTTATAACAAAATTTTGTTTTGATACTTTTTTCTAATATTCAGCAGTAAATGGCATTAATCAGCAGATTGATTGGATGATATGATATTAAAGAAGTCTTTTCCAACTAAGGAAATAGAATTTGTTACAGAATTCAAAATAGTTACATACCGTAAGTACTAAAAATAAGAGCTATTTACAAAACGAATGGTTTCATTCACAAGAATGAAAGCACATAGTGACTGAACACTGACATGCATAGACTTGCTTTTCAGCTACACGATCTGTATTGCTGTACTGTATAGGCAAACCAAAATGTTATTGTCAGATATTTTGGCAAACTGCACAAGATCAAGAGTAGAGTTTTACAAGAATGATCCCCTTTAAACAACTTTGCAATACAATATTTAAATTTCTCCAGCAGAGCTATTTTAATTATGAACATAGCATCTTGATAGAGGGAATATTCAGTTTCACATTTATAAGGAATATCAACATTTAAGCATATTCCTGTTTCACAGTGATACAAGACTTTGCTTCTCTATACAGAGAAACTAACATTTTGGTCTTCGGTTCATGAGTAATATTTAACATGAAAAGTACCACACACTAATGTTATTCAGGGAATGGTGTACATAAGGGCTGATCTCATCAAAACATTTAAAATACTGTACTGAACAAATTGGAGGATATTAATTCAGACCACTTCTTTGAAAGGTCGAGTGTAAAACACACAATGAGCAACAGTTTTAAGTTTAACAAGCCACAATATAGGACAGAGAACAGGAGATGCTTTATCAAAAATCTAGTTGGAAAAAAAAATAGAGGAAACTGGGGGGGGGGAACCATTATTGGTTTCCCCCCATTTTGTCAAATGGGGACAAGCCACCAGTTTTCTGTTCCTGTTGTTGAGGCCACTAGATGGATGGTGGCCCTCGGGTAAATTTAGGCAATATCAATCTTTTTCTAATGCTTACAAAAACATGAATTTTTACTGAACTTTAACCATCTTAACATTTTGGATGTTAAATTTGTCAACTTCTTTCATTTTACAAAGCCAATTGTTAACTTATAATAAATTTGCTATAAAATGAAATAATTTCTTATGAAAGCAATTCATCAAAGTCCTGTTCGTCAGTGCCATCTGAGCAGTCTTTAACTCCATTATTTAACTGAGAGAGAGAAAGGCAAGTGCCATCCAAACACTGCAATTCTGGACAAATCTCCGGAGGTAAGGTGACTGATTCAGCTGTTGTCTCTTCCAGTAGTGTAGTTGTTTCTTCAGGTACAGAAGTTACTACACTCTCATCATCATTAAAGAAAGAAGTTTGAGTTTCAACAGAAGCCGAAGATGGCATTGTTGATGTAGTGAACTCTGTGGAAGGAGAAATTTGTTAGGCACTGCAACTGTACAACAAAGTTATATAAAAAAGTGAAATTGTGTAATTCTGGTTTTAAAGTAGAGAATATTATTTTTATGTCCAGCAATACTTTTAGTAAGTATTAATTTGTGTTAATATTTACCGTACAGTGTTAAGTAATAGTCGTCAATATTTTAGTCGTCAATGTTTTGTCTAAAGAAAGAACAGTCGATCACGAAGAGGATTGAACATGCAGTTTGAAGCACACTGAGCAACTTATACATACGTGGTTGGAAGATGTGAGGTATGGCAGATTTTCCTGGTTTATTTTTGTATATTACCATGTAAATAATGATTAGGCGTATATGGAAGATATGCCGGAGAATGATTTATTGGCATGTTAAATCCCGAGGACTCTTGGCCATAGTAGAGCGAACTGGAGCCTGTTCTACGTTCAAAGTCGTAAGTCACTGAACTAGGATCATATGCTTGCTGTTCATCACCTAGACTCTCTTCTTTGGGCATAAATGTCTTTGAGCCATCATTCTGAATATTACGATAGGCACTGCCTGATGAATGAGGGGAGTAAGGTTGTGCTGGAAGGGTAAAATGAGGTCCCTGAACGATTACTGGAGAAAGGGCAGATGAAGCAGGTTCATTGTCAAATTCTGTTGATGCTACTTCAGCAGTTGCATCAAAATTTATACCTTCTTTGAGAAACTCCTCTTGAGGAAAGAAATGTGAGCTAGAAGATATTCTAGAGGTCCGTAGTGTGGGACGTACACGAGTTATACGTGTAGGACCTACAGAACGATGATTTGGGATTCTTAGCCTTGATGAACTTCTAATATTGTCTGCTCCTTCCTCTGTAACCTTTTCCTCTTCTACTGCTTTCTTATCGGAAACGGTTGGACTGTTATGCTGGCGTTCTCTAAAGCTTTCAGTTTGACGTGACTCATAAGATGGGGAGGGTGGAAAACGAGAAGAACGCCACTGTTGAAAACGAGATCTGAAGCTCCCAGAGGAGCTTGATTCAGAATCTGGTGGTGGAGATGTAGGTGAATTAACATACGGAGATTCAGAAGGCCTCTGTGTAGAAGGGCGGTTGGTTCTGGAAAAGCGAATGCTACCCCGCATTCTTCCAGGTGTATCTGATTTTCTGTTTTCTTCTGGGAAGTTAGTAATTGGTATTGCAAGGTCTATATCTTTCAGTTTAGTGTTTGATTCTTCCAAAGACTCTTTCTTTGTAACCTGTCTCTCCCTTTCTGTTACCAAAAATTTACTATCCAAGTAGCCTTCATTTGTCTTTGATTGTGCACCTTTGACTGTATTTTGAGGAGCTTGCCCTCCTGGAAATTGCTGATAATCATCTCCATGATGCTCCAGTATACTGGAATGTTGAACACCTCTCAGTTGAGAATCATTATTTGAAAGTTTTTCTTTTGAGGACAATTTTTGATTATTCTGCAAAAGCTTATGCCCAAGGTTTGTTTGGAGTGTTTCCTCTAATGACTTCTGCTCTTGGAATGCCTGGAGCCTACTGTTAATAGATTGTTCATCAAAATTTAATTCTTGAGATTCTGTTATAGAAGCTTCATTAGAAAATAACTGGTCAGTTTGGAATGGCCGAGACGTTTGGTAACCAGTCTGAGTAGGTTCTAAGGAGGAATACTGAAAGTTTTCTTCAGATGAATATTGGTCAGTATTTTCATTACTCAATGGGTTTTCCAAGGAAAAAATGGATTGGCGAGATGATGGAAGGCCATCATGGTCGTTTGATAACTGTTCAGTTTGAGACACATGATTCACAGGTTGCTCCCCAAACTCTTCTTTTTCATTAGAATACTTCTGGTTTGGGGGTAATCCTCTTTGACCATTAGGAGCTTGTCCATATGGTGGTGCTTCATTTAGAATGGGCACTTCCCCAGAAAACTGTTGAAGAAGTTCACTCTCTTCAGATTGCAGCTGCAATTGTTCTCCACTACTTAGAGGATTTGGATCACTTTCCACAGTAGTTGGTTCTCCAACAAGTGCTGCTTGTGAAGGAACAAATTCCTGCTGTATAGTATCATCAAAATTTAGTTCTCTTGCTTTATCTCTAGAGTGAGGAGAATTTTCAGAGACTAATTCAGCATAATCATATTGATTAACAATGAACTCATTTCTGCTTTCTATAGTCTTGCCAAAATCACCACCTGGTAGTGGAAACTGTCCAAGGGGTGCAAGAGCTTCAAGATGTTCTCCTGTAGAGGAAACTTGTGTCACTGATGGATGTTGTGTGTCACAGTTGGTCTCGTCACTATTGTCATGGCAGTCATCGGCACCATCACACATCCAAGACACTGGGATACAGAAGTCTGTTGTGGCACACCGGAAGTCACCATAGTTGCAGCCTAAGACGTCATATTAGGAATATTTTAATAAGTGAATTTAGCATTATATTTTCATTAATATGAAAGATTGTCAAGTACCATAACTATACTAAGACAGTTTGTATGTCTAGAACTTGAGTCAATGAAATTAAAATTAATAACTGATTAAAGACACTCAGTATTTTGTTTTGGTCAGAAACCTGTTTCATGCATTAACTAACAAATATCAGCAATGAATGCACAAATTAAATGTTAGAAGCAAAAATAATATAAAATTCATATACGTATAACAATTAATTCTCACATAGAATTTAATTAATTTCATGAAGAAATTAACATATGATGAAGAATGTGACAATATCAGACCACGAAGGAAGGATCAAGACAGGAATTTCCTTACGTATTTTTGTATTTAAAAATCCTTCTGAAGATGTATTATTAAATACACAAGTACTTAAGGAAATTCCTGTCTTAATCCTTCCTTCATGGTCTAACACATACACACACATACATTGTACTGTATATCTGTACAGTACGTATATGCAAAACAGACAAAATACAGTAAAACTACCAATACAGTAGTTCATGTGGCTCCAACCCAAAAATCTCCTCTACAATGAACAAATTTAAAAAATACTCAATTGAAAGTTTGTAATTTGTCTTGAAATAATACAAGAATTACCGCTTCCCAGATTTTAGGTCAGTCATGCAGTCTTCCCCATGTAATGAGTATAAAAGTATATGAGGTATAAAAGATGTTTTTATCACGGCAATGGTGACAATGGAAGAGGCAAAGATCAGTACAGGTAGTTAGCAGTAAATGTTCTTTTACAATCCAGGAACCCCAGTAAGAGCAGTGTATGTAGGTAAAAGGAAATTTTATCTTGGAATCAGACACAGTTTTTCCATCATAAAAAGGCATTCCCAAGCTTAGAAAGGGCACAAGGTGATGGCATGCTAGAACTCACCAATGTGTGTGCAGTTTGACTCATCAGAACCATCATGACACTGTGGTATACCATCACACACAGTTGTCAGGACAATGCAGTCTGAACTATCATGACACAGGAATTTATCATGATCACAAATTATTTCTGTAGTAGTAGTAGCAAAAGTTACATCACCACTAGGAGCAATGTTCTGACTGGCTTCCGGTAAACCCTCAATTGGTTGTACAGTTTCCCCAGCAACAGGTTCAATCTGTACATCACCTGCTGTTACTTCCTGTTCTGCAAGGTCAGTACTTTCACCTGATGAGGATAAAGTTTCATCAGGATAATCAACTGAGTAATCTATGTTTGCAATAGGGAAATCTTGTGACACTGCAGAGTTGCCATCTGTTGTAGAAAAGTCTACTACTGTTGGATTAAATCCAGTATTGGTAATAGGATACTCTGCATTTGCTGGAATCTTTCGAGCTGCTGGATAGTCAGGGTAGTCAGCAACTGGATATTCTTCATGTGGGATGTTGTGTTCTTCTGTAGCATAATCACTGGTCGAAGAGAAATCTTCAGAGGGATTTGGGCTGTGAAGTTGTGGAATGCTGTTGGAGTCTCTTCTAACGCCCACCACATCACCCAGAGCTGTGAGTCAGGTTAATGTGTCATTTGCAGCATGCAATTTATAAAGTCCAGTTATTTGCAGTAGGGATTAGTGTTTAGCATTATGCAGGATGTCAATCAAGTTTGCTTTTCCAGGAAAATAGAAAGAAGCTATCCTCACAAAATTGCAACATAAAATACCACAGGCTTAATACTACTGTACTTACATGTATAAACCATGAATGGTCTAGAATGACAGTTTTATATTTAAGCTAGCAAAAATTACTTTATTCATATGTTAAATTTCACTCTTAGAGAACTTTAGTGTAAAACTGCTTCTTTCTTTTCCCTGGTGGATATCCTAATTTTGAATCAAAACAATTAATATGGGTCCTATGACAGTGGTAAGTGCAGTCGGGTCATATCTGTAAGGTCTTGGGTTCGATTCCCACAGTAGGACATATATGAATTTATGTAACATTTTCTTTCACCTGATACCTCTGTTCACCTTGCAATAAACATGTATCTGGGTGTTAGACAATTGTTGTGGGTTAGACAATTGTCCTTGGATAGATCGTTAGTAGTTGATCTAGGGGAACCTCAGGCTAACAGACTTCATGTCCCCGACTATGGAAAACCATAAGATTTAATCCATTTCCCCGCCCGAAACGCTGCGCGTACTAGTGGCTTTACAAGATTGTAATTACTATATTTATGTATCCTCACAATCCCAATGTACCTTCTTGTATATATATATAAATAAATAAATAAATAAGGTAAACCATTATAAAGTATTTATGGTGCATCCAAAAATTAAGAGTACAGGTAATTTTTCAATGTTTACTAAAAGTAATTAAATGCATGTTTAATGTCTTGAGGGTTGACTAACTTTACCCTCCAACAGGACTTTTATTAAGCTCATTTTATCCATCTTCATTTCTATTAAAGTATTCTTGATAAGCATTATGCCTATTAAAGTGAATTAAATTACCATGTTGAGCAAGAGTGGAGTTACTTACCACTTCTTAAAATTACTTCACATTCTTGTTTTCCATAAGATGGACTAAAAATAGCCAGTTAAATGTAAAAAGCAGCAAGTATATTATGTAGAATTAAGATATTTACAGTGAATTAAAGTCTTTTTCATTATAATGATAATTCATAGAGTCAAGGGACAGGCAGCCAGTATATACATACAGTACACATTAGCTTTATATAAAGGTTGCTCAGGGTAAAATTCCTGACCCCCCCCCCCAAGATGCAACCCTACAGCAAGGTGATTACCTTCTGGGTACCTATTTACTGCTAGGTGAATAAGCGCATTAGGTGATATGAAACAAGCCCAACCATTTCTGTCCCGTCCGGGATTCAAGTCTGGAATTCTCGAGCATGAGTCAAGATGGGACCCTACTTATGGATTTCCTTATAAAAGAATTTGATATTTGAAGCAAATGTCATCCAAACTCAACATTTTCATCACTGATGAAAATATATTGTCTAACTTTATTGGCTCTCATTTGTTAATTTATTCCAAGCTTTGGCCTGTTATATGGTCACATGTTCATTATTATCTATAAAATTTTACAAATGTCATATTCAGTCATGCTAACATCACCAGGGTTTGTCACTATAATCTCTCACAGCTATGTTTTAACCTTTTGTTTGTACCTCATATTGCTAATCTGTTTATAAATTTTGGAACCATAGTTTTTTATCATATCTTTTAAGTGGATAAAAAATATCATATTTTCTGTGACTAATTGTACTTTCATATATTCTAGATCAACATTATACTGTATTATCAAGTTATGAATGAAGTTTCACAGTATCATCAGACTGTTAATAATCATGGCATGCACACAAATTCTCACTCACACACATAACTATGTGAATACTGAACACACATTGTTTCATAACCTTCAAAGTTAAAACTAAAGAATTAATTATATTGAATTATTTCTCAAATAATTTTTTACATGCTTAAAAAATGTACAAATCCAAGAGATAGAGGAACAAATAGTTTGCATGATAAAGAGCAAATGAAGAATAAAGAGCCATAAACAAAATAAATAATAAGAGATGAGAGCAACTCTAAGACAACTATAACATGCAAACATCATGCTCAGTGAGAGGTTACAGACAAAAGTTTAGGTACAGAATTAGATATTTAAAAAAGTGGGTAATTTCATGCATGCTACATACTTATAAAATATATGCTAATAGAGGTTATTTTGTTACTGCTTTCTTGTTTAATATTGGGCACTTGCACTGAAGTCAGTGGCAGAAGCAATTACTATTAAAGTGCAAGTCGCATAAAATGCACATGTATCAGCCAGTGACTGTACTATCTTGCCCAGATATAAGATGTACTAGTGACAGCCCCTGGTGACTGACCTGGAAGCTGGCCAGGGCATGCTGCCTCATCAGAGTGGTCAAGGCAGTCTGAGCGTCCATCACAGACAAGTCTCTTGGCCACACACCGCCCGTCTCCACACCGGTGCTCCCGCCCAACACAAGGCTCTGCATCACCATCACCGTAACAACCAAGGCCATACCAATTAGTTCATATTAGCTGTTGCTTATTATATTCTTGAAGATATCTAGGCCAGCTCAAACTTTACAGTAAACCCATGGATTATGTGCTGTAATATTGCACATACAATATTTCTACCAATCATGTTAAAACTAATCTAAAACAAAGTGAACTTGAACTTAATTTATAAACCTCTTGTATATAATCTCCACCAACATCACCTGCCTATTACTTAACATAGTCGACTATTTCTGTAAGAGTTTGCTAAAATAAAAATAAATATAGGTCGAATGCCTTTTCCAGTGTTAATATTTTTAATAAAGCCCCTTTTTCAGAGAAATTATCACTACTGTAAGTTACCTAGCATTTGAAAACTGTATATAACATAAAATATTGGAAACAATGACCATGTAACTTGGAAAAACAATTTTGGTCTAATTCAATTTAGTTAAAAGTACAGCAGCCAACAAGCAGCTCTAAATTCATCATATTGTATATTTTTTTTAATCCGAAAAAGACGTTAATTACAGGATTACAAGTCTGTGTTATTAACTAACTAGAAGTGGTACCTGGTGGTGCCCAGGATGGCCCGTCTCTTCCTCCATTTCCATTCCCCCATCTTCTCTCTCCCCCCCCCTCCCCACTGCTATTCCATCTCTCTCCCCTCCCCACTGCTATTCCATCTCTCTCTCCCCTCCCCACTGCTATCCCATCTCTCTCCCCTCCCCCACTATTATCCCATCTCTCCTCTCACCCCCACACTTATCCCATCTCTCTCCCCCCCCATCTCCCTATTCTACCCTCCCCTCTTTTCCCTTTTTGCCTGTCTGGCTTCCAACTTCGAACAAATATTTCCTCTAGAACTGTACCGAATTCACTTCTAAGTCAAGAAATCCAGGGACTTGGCCAGCCACCTTTCACTAATTTTGTGGAATGGGGGGTTCATTATTGGGCTTTTTCCCCCTTTTTAATAGGACCAAGAGGACTGACCCTGAATAGCCTATGTTTGTCATGTACCCAAGAACATTCCCCCTGTATAACTGGGTGAGGCTAGCCCCCAAGCATCTGGCATCCAACCTTGGACAGACAAATAGACATTTTCTCTATAGAAATAATAAGTTTAATGTCAAAATACAGGTGACTGACTTGTATCCACCCCCACCCTCTTTGCTTAATACAGGTGCCATATTCACCCTGCCTTTTTTAATAGTAGTGACATATCCACCCACTTAACGCAGGTGACATCCACCCCCTTGCTTAATACAAGTGACATATCCACCCCCTTGCTTAATACAAGTGACATATCCACCCCCCTTAATGCAGGTGACATCCACCCCCTTGCTTAATACAGGTGACATATCCACCCCCATTGCTTAATACAGGTGACATAGGGTCTCATAGTACAGTTGACTTCATCCTCAACTCACAATCGGGGATCCCAGGCAGGATTCAAATGGTTGATTACATTTCGTTTCAAGTAATGTCTCTTTACCTAGCAGTAAATAGGTATGCAAGAGTTAGGCAACTATTGATTGCATATCAATTGATTGCTCACAACCTGATCAAGCAGGCTGTGAGCAGTCGCGTCTAACAGCCTAGTTGACCAGTCCAGCAACGACGTGGCTTGGTCGAGGATTAAGCCGCGGGGACATTGAGCTTTGAAATCATCGCAAGGTAAAAAATAATCCTGGGGAAGGTCAGTAGTTTGACCTTGAGTGGTGGACCTCAATACAAGCCTAAAGTTGTGTGTGTGTAATTACCTAAGTGTACTGTAATTACTCGATGAAAGCTATGCTTGTGGTGTCCCATCTTCCCAGTACAGTACAGTACTCTGTCATATACCGCTTTGAAACTACTAACGGTTTTGGCCTCGATCACCTTCTCCCTTAACTTGTTCCAACCGTCTACCAGTGTAATTACCTAAGTGTAATTACCTAAGTGTAGTTACAGGATGAGAGCTACGCTCGTGGTGTCCCGTCTTCCCAGCACTCTTTGTCATATAACTTAAAATAATTTGTAATCCCAGTAAAGTGATATACTTTTTGAGAAATTATGGAGGTTATGAAATGGGTTCGAACTTGCGTTTTTGGACTTCAAAGACAAACGCCTTCTGCAGGTATCACCTGCCTTCTATGTGTGTGTGTGTGTGTGTGTGTGTGTGTGTGTGTGTATATATACTGTATATAAACAACTACACACTGTGGAAGATGGTTTTAACAAGTTAAGGGAGAAGGTGATTGAGACCAAAACTGTCAGTAGTTTCAAAGCATTATATGACAGAGTAATAGGAAGACGGGACACCACTAGCATAGTTCTCATCCTGTAACTACACTTGGGTAATTACACATACATACACTGGCTTCCTGTCCCCAACAAAGGGAATTATTAAATTATATTGATGTAACTATCTCATAAAGCATTCATTCAAGTGATTTGATTGGTTCCTTGCCTTGGGGAATTTCCAACTCTTCATATTATGTTACTAACAATTTTCCTAATGCCATGATTATTCAGTATTTCTCAAAACTATCCAAATTTATTAACTTTGACTTTAATACTGTTCATACTAAACTAGCTAACTGGAGATTGCCTCTGTTTCTCACATGAGACCCGACATCTTATCTTCTATTAATTCCAATCATCATCAGTGATCAGTCTCACATACATAGTACTATAACCAAACATTCATTTTAGTGCATTTCTGTTCGGCCTGTCATCTTAATCATGTACTTTTCTAAGTTATAACTACACCACAATTTTTTCTTATATAAAACCTTACACACCACACCCAAATTGGGAAGTATTCACATTTGATTGCCAGTTTGAATAAAGTACTTCATAAAGGATCTAGGGAGGTAATGAAAAGTGAAATAATAAAAGAAATTTTAAAATGAAGTGCAATAACTAAAAAAGCCCAAACATTTATATAAAGAAGAATTATCCCCCAAAAGTGTAAAGCAGTGCTAAGCATAAACATGTAGAAGCAACGCTGAAACCAACATTTTCAGAGAACATAAACTAAAGCATTACTTATTATATATACTGTATATATATATATATATATATATATATATATATATATATATATATATATATATATATATATATATATATATATATATATATATATATATATTATATTTATTATATATATATATATAATATCCTATATGAAAAGTAAACTAAGTGAAAATTAACAGTACTAGGCAAAAAGGAAGTTTAGTGATGTGGTAGACTTACCATTTGTCATGTCAAAACACACAGCAGGATCCGTTGAGTCAGGGAACCTCTCACAGTTAAATACATCACTTAGGCCAACCCCTGAGATGACGAATTCTTGACACGTTGAGGCCACAGCTGTGACATTGAGTATGTAATTGAAAATTAATTGAGCAATGAGACCTGATGTATTTCTCAGGTAAATTTGTGTAATTACCATATATATAAATGCAGTATTATCAAGAAAATGGTGTGTTCAGAATATGAACACAAGTTCAATCGCATTACAATGCCTCAATAGTTTCCTAATACTGTACTACTGTATAGTAATATTTAAATATAAGACTGTAAGTGGTCTTTAGCTTTAGTACCTGCCTGGAATGCTATGCATGTTAGTGACTTTGGAAGAATGTACCACTTAATCACAAATGTATGTACTCTCACAAATCATTGTACCTTCTTGTATTACTGTATATAAATAAATAAATAAATACTGTATATAAATAAACAGCTACTGGCAAAAACTGCTGAAAGCAATAACAATTCTAGAAACTCGGATAAATAGCTAACTTCAGTGTAAGATTTTAAAACAGTGGAATTACATTTTGTAACAGTATCCTGTACTTGTAAAATGCCAGAATCAGGGATAAAGTTCTAATTTAATTCTTCAAACACTTGTTTAATATTTGTAAAAAGATGGACAAATAATTCACATCTTACATATTACACTTCCAGATGCACTATACTTTACACAAAGATAAATTTATATGCATGCTGTGCTAGAAACCATCCTAAAAGTTTAACTTCTAATAAAACAATAAAACTTACATCTGCAGAATGTCCTGCAAGGAGGCAAAATTGTTCCATCAGCACTGCAGGGAGGTTCCAGTATAGCACAGGCATATTCTTGTGCTCTTGGTGAGCAACGTGATCTTACAATCACATCCTGAGGGAAATATGCACTTGATATAACAGTACAGTATTTGATAAAAATTCATTTATTTTAAAATAGATAAAGCATCACAATTACAAAGAACTTTTCTAAAGTTACCCGAGGGCCACACTCTCTCTAGTGGCCTCAACGAGACTAGGAAGTCAGTGGTTCATCAAAGGTCATCTCATTTTTCTTAACAATTCATGTAGAAAAGAAACCTGAATAGGACTATCGGTTTATAAACTTACCCTGAAGAATGGAAGAGACGATTCATGAAGCTCAACCTCATTTTGATCATTAGCCCAGTTCGGGAAGGCAGTGAGAGAGTATGGTAAATTACTGCACATTTCCAGTTGACGAGGACGGCAAGTATCTAAAATAAAAAAAATATATTGTGGGCGCAGTTAATGCAACCTGTAAAGTTCTCAAGAAATGTCTACATATTAGATGACACTTATCAATACAAAAACTTATGATTCGGCTATCAAAAGCCAAAGTTATACTTTTATTTTTTCTTCTAATTATCAAGACCATAGAAACAAAAACCATGCTGTACCAGTTTAATAAAACTATACGCAGTTCTTTCAAATTTTCAATGATGCAACTTTGTCCAAAATTATGTCAGTTGTTAGTTACTGGATCTACCACTAATTATGAAATGGCTACATGCAACATCAATACAAATTGTAAGTGCAACTTGACCCTACCGTGAGAAGCTTCTTCAGTCACTGCTGACTCTTCTGAAGGTTTATCCGTTGTTAGTGCTGCTTCCTCTTCTGTTGTGATTGGGAAATGAAGTTCAGGCTGGGCTTCAGGTAATGTTGGCGATTCTACATACTCAGTTGGTCCTTCTGGGAATGACAGTTCTTTTAGAGTTTCAACAGTTGGATTTTCCTCAGGGTTTTCAGTGGGTTGTTCTTCAGGTAGCGCTTGTGAAGAGCTGACAGAGGCATCATGACGAGGAGCTAGAGAATCCAAGAGAGGAGGGAGACCACCTCCTTCACGCAGCTCATCTGCTGTAGTTTGAAATACTGGAGTCGCATTACTTTCAGATTCGGCGCGTGAGGCTGGTGTAGTGTCTAGAGATGGTGCTGGTATGATCACCAAAGCATCATCAATTTTATGTGGTGCTGAAGGAGCAAATACTGCATCGGAACCTGTACAGTGTATCAAAAAAGTTATTTACAAGAAAATATGTTAAATATATTATATCCTATTGTGATTTAATACATTTTGTGTTAATTTTATTTTATTTTCCACTTCATCTCTAGTGAGGACATTGATAACATTATTGTTACAATATTTACAAATTTACTTAATATTGTAATAAATAACTTTAGTGGCATATTCATTTTACTCCCTTTAAATTAACTGAATTATAGAAACTTTTACTGATCAGGGGCAGAAACTGATGTTACTCCAGCTTTATGTAGTAAACAGTAGAATAAAACTGCATAAAGTATAAACAATCAGAGTGATATAATATAATTGTATTATATACACACCTTTATTTTCCAGTATCACTTCATGATCAACTTCTTCACCTGGCACTTGTGCAAGCTCAAATATCTGTTCTGAATGTCCCCTTTCATGTTGGTGATCACCTTCCTTGTGCACATGTCCATGGCCCATGTCACCTTCCAAGTGCACATGTTCATGGTCCACATCACCTTCCTTGTGCATGTGTTCATGGCCCACATCACCTGCATTGTGCATATGTTCATGGCCCACATCACCTTCCTTGTGCATGTGTTCATGGCCTGCATCACCTTCCTTGTGCACGTGTTCATGGCCTACATCACCTTCATTGTGCACATGTTCATGGCTCACATCACCTGCATTGTGCATGTGTTCATGGCCCACATCACCTTCTGTGTGTGCATGTTCCTGGTCCACATCACCTTCCTTGTGCATATGTTCATGGCCTACATCACCTTCCTTGTGCATGTGTTCATGGCCCATATCACCTTCCTTGTGCATGTGTTCATGGCCCACATCACCTTCCTTGTGCATGTGTTCATGTCCCACATCACCTTCCTTGTGCATGTGTTCATGGCCCACATCACCTTCCTTGTGCATGTGTTCATGGCCCAAATCACCTTCCTTGTGCATGTGTTCATGGCCCACATCACCTGCATTGTGCATGTGTTCCTGGCCTACGTCACCTGCATTGTGCATGTGTTCCTGGCCTGCATCACCTTTCTTGTGTGCATGTTCCTGGCCCACATCACCTTCACCATGTGTGTGTCCATGTTGCATCTCAACACCTTCATGCACATGATCAGGCTCAGGTTTGGAATCTGGCGTAGCCTTGGACTCGGACTCAGGCTCTGGTTCAGGCTCTGGTTCAGGATTGGGAAGTGGACCTGTATGGTGATGATCTTCATGATCCCCTACTTTGACTTTTCCAAGCACTGGATCACTGGATACATTATATCTGGTGTCATCTGTAAACTCAACTTCATTTATGATATTGGGATGTTTCTTCTCTTTCACTGGGCTACCAACAAATGCTCCTTCTTCCAAACCCAGAGAAGACTCTCCTTCCTTATTACCTAAGATGTTGGGGCAATGAAGCTAAAATTAGGAAAACAAGCACAAAATAATGTAAATAAAAAATATGACAATACAATATTTATTCCAGTTATACAACTACATCGGGCTAAAAGTCTTGATATTCAATTTAAACAAACCCAAAATAGAAGCCAGCAAAATATTTAGGTTCCTACCAAGTGAAATCCAGTACAAGCTTAGAGCAAATAAAAATATCAAAACATATTTAATAGGCTACTGTACTTGTCACCTATACAACTAACAATGATATTGTTTGTAACAATCTCTTCTAAAATACAAACATTAAATAAATCACCAACGTTTAGAATCTGAACTAGTATTTGAAAGAATATGATCTGTTAAAATCATGACAAACAAGGCTTGTAAGACTATCAATAAATATTACTAATGCAAACTTACCTGGCAAAAGGTAAAAGCACACAACAAACAGGACTGCAATGACAATAGCAACAGCCAGTACAACAAGGAACCCCACAATGATATCACGCAGCACCCGGCCTGGACGGAAAATGTTGGAGCAACAGGCTGAATATCGAGGATCAGGTTCCAAAGTAGTTCCACACATGCCCTCTGCATCGTCACCCTAAAAACAAAAAGCACATATATTGAAGTGGTACTAAGTTAAATATACCATATATAAGTCTGCATATGTCCAGTACAAGAGTATTTCAGTTATGTAATATACTGTCATGAAGGAAGCAAGACATGACAAGGCATGACAGCCTTAGTAAGACAATATATTTAACGTGTTAGATAATGCAAACTCCAACGTTCTTGAAGAGGTCTAGAGGGAAACATGGAATCAATTTCATAGATCTATTATGTCCAACTGCTAAATGTGCTCATGCATGTTCATCAAAGGTGATACACTATGTACCTTATAGCCATATATCTGTATTACAATGAAGAAAGGTTGGTTACGAACTGATTAAAATATAATGTAATAAGAAAAGATTTGCAGGTACTACATGCACTGTCTACATGCACTGTCATTCTTGTCAGTTTGTAAACCTGGAAAACTATAGTTTAGCGGGCACGACAGGTTGGACCAATGATTGCCCTTCATACGCTCCTAACCTAAACAAAGTTCAGTTCTGACTATTGTACCTACAAATAGGCCTACCATAGAACTCAACAATATAATTTTATGTTCATTAAATATAGTGTACCGAACTGGAATATTTTAATTTCTTAATGTGGATGAGATTGATACACTTATAGCCAATAAATTAATCTCCTGATACTGTGAATGATTGCAGCAAATAAGGCATATTATAGGTGTGAAAGTAGACTGGAACAGTCTATGACCAGTAAGCAACAACAGATAGATAAGGCTAATTCTATACACAGGTTAAATTGTACACACGATATAAATCACGAAGCTAGAGGTAAATTGTATCCGACCGATAGGTGAAACAGCGGGGCCCAGAAGCTGACGTTCAGTTCTACGAGCATAATAGGTACTGGCTGTGCAGAGGCAGATGAACAAGTTCAAGTAGGCAAGGGACGGGAGCTTAGCGCACGCACATGCATGCACTTAAACGCATTTACACGGAAGCTTGCACCCACACAAATGCATTTCGTAAGCACAAGCATACACACGCATGTGGGGCGTGACGGCTGAATGGACAGCGCTCGGAATTCGTAGTCCTAGGGAATCGATCCCCGGCGGAGGCAAACACAAATGGGCAGAGTTTCATTCACACTGATGCTCCTGTTTATCTAGCAGTAAATAAGTACCTGGGAGTTAGACAGCTGCTACGGCCTGCTTCCTGGGGATGTGTGTGTAGAAATAAAAACAGTTGGTTGAGAGGCGGGCCCAAAGAGCCAGAGCTCAACCCATACAAGCACAACTAGGTGAGTACTCAGGTAATTATATACATCCTGCAACATATCGCTGTCCTGCTTTTTAGAACATAAAAAGTATTGTTCATGATTAAACCACGTTAGCTTCATCCGATAATATATAAGATACTGTTTATATATAGAAAGCCCCGAAATCACCTCAAGATAACCTCAAGATAGAAAGAAGCAAACTGTGACATTATATAAGAGGCATGGAACACCATTAAACACTGACAAAATCTGGGAGAAAACTCACGAGAATGCAAAATGTCTCCCAGTTTGCTCGAAACAGAATTGCAAGTATACAATTTTAACTTTACTTTGTCTTGTTACAATTGTAATTAAGCATTCTTGTGCTTAAATTACAAATTGTGCTTTATTAAATAAAATGAATGAAACCCAAAATTTTGTTAGTATCTCCAGTTTTGCCTCCCAAGTAACAAATCCGTGGAGCCTGCATTTATACACTTTCCTCCTATTCGGACACAAAAACGGGACAACTATTTTTCTCTTGAATGTGAGCGCGCGACATATTTTTATGTCTGACGAACAAATAGTTCTATAATATTCAATTCTTATCCGATCGAGTTGGGGATAATATGAAGATGTTTGCCATGAAATTTACGTTTTCTCTAATAGCCACGTAGCCTATTTGGGAGAACGGAATTGTCTTGTATCTTCGCGGTAAAACTATTGTATAGTTGACACGACAAGTGTAATCTACGAAGTTTCTTTATTTGGTGCCGGTCTAACGCATCCTTGTGTGACATTTTATGCATATGTTCTTCTAGAACATTCTATTGCGAACACATTGGTACAAAAATGAAATACGTACATAGAAAATTAAGGTCAGGACAGTGAAAAGAATATATACTTTTCAATACTGGTTTCGCCGATGTGCGGTAACAGGTAACACTTCGCCCACTTCCCACACTCTTGCGGGAGGGCCGCGATCATGATTCTACATTTATATGTATATGTTCGTGTAGAGAATTTTATTGCGATCTCAGAGATACCAAATTTAACGCTGTAGGACAAGTGTGGAGTTGACAACCCTGAAAAGAATAGAAACATTTCGTCGCTGTTTGGAGCTCACGGCTAGTGATCGACGTAGCTCTTTATTTGGTGGTAGATTAACTCATGCTTTGGTAAAATTTTATATATATGATCTTCTAGAACATTCTATTGCGAACACATTGGTACAAAAATGAAATATGTACATCAAAAATTAAGGTCAGGACACTGAAAAGAGTATACACTTTTCAGTGTTGCCGCTCGATCGCCCTTAACACTAACTTTTTTTCTTGTTTGCCGGGAGGAGGAAAGTTAATATATAACGATTATCAACTAGGCTAAACATAAATTACAGTAATAGTTTTTTTCAGCAGAAAAGGCTATAGGCTACAACGTAGTCTCCACCGGAATGAATGACAATGGGCATAGGTCCTATATACGCCATATACGAACAGGAACTTCTGGTGTATCTAGGCTATCTTTATGATGTGATCGTTCACTACATTCATTAATCTTCCTTTCTTGGTTAACCTAATTTCATAAAGATGAGGACCGGAATTCAGAAGAGCCGGCGGGATGTATCGTATCATCGGCCGGAAGCTTCATAAACACTGCTGTACTTGTTGACTCCTGTCGCAGCCTGTACCACTCACTCCACCGTTACCTGCTCTCTTCCTCCTGGTCTGCTACGGGCTCACCATAGCCCGTGCTGCTAGGAACGTGAACGTGGTGAAATGTAAATGAACTAAATTAAATCCCTCTTGGGACAGGCTTGTGATATACCCTGAGTATAAGGAGACCATTCAGCCGAAATGCTGCGCGCGTAATTAGTGGTTTTATAGAACATACAAATACTATACTACAAAGTAACCACTGTCATCTGATTCTCTGTATATTTTATAAATATAACTATAATGTACATTATATACATAAGTTGTACCCTAGTACAGCAGTTATAGTATCTGTTTTGTTTAGTTCATATATTCCATACCTAAATTTTTATACGTAGAAAGCAACACAAGTCAGACACTCACTCTTGGGTTAAGCTGGTACTTCTGGGTGTGGGAAGGAACCATACACTTCACCATCTTCACTATAAGACCTGGCGAGTTTCAGTCACAATTTTATATTCGAGTTGTCGTTTTCGCAAAGGTAAATCGAAATTGTCGTATCGAATAGTTTAAAGCATAAATGCGTCACAACCAAGTCTCACAACCGGAGGAGGAGGAGGACAACCTGACTGGGTCACGGCCGCCACCGAACTGCCGGAGACGAGGCAGGAACGTGGGTTCATGACTCATGCCCGGTACCACCAGGGCCACATGGGAGGGCCACATAGGCACCGCTGCCCCATTTTTCTTCTTTTTATTGTTTAAGATTCACCTAACCTTTTTTTTATTAACACATTTAAATACATGTGCATTTGTGCAGCTACTCTAGACTATATGAAGGGGAGTACAGCGTGTCAAAAAGCTTCTCTGAACAAAACGTTTCAAGCAGCACGGGCTATGGTGAACCCGTAGTGGACTTACCTAGCACATGAGCTGGGCTGAATGCTTGCCTCATATGGTGCTCTCAACCTATATGCAGCATACGAATATCCTAATGCGTATTTTCCGCTTAACTCACTTAGTATTTTTATATAATAAAAAATACTAAGTAAAATTGGCTATATATACTAAAGTTAATCGTTCAAGAAAAATCGTATATTTGCCCTATAAAAACTCCAAAATTGAAGCTTGCAGTATAGATGTATATCGGGTGCATAATAAACTAGAGGTGATAGGTTGTTATGATTAGTGCAAGTTATTCGGAACAGCGATAACTGAGGAGCAAAAAGCCGTCGTAAGATAATAATAATAAATAATAATAATAATAATAATATTTAAATATACAGAACATGATACAATGGTTGCTTATTTCTGTATACGTTAACAAAATATATATTATTACAATACTGTAGTCATAATATCTTTCTTCCGGCTTCCCCTTTATGGCTCCCCACCACACTATAGTGTGTGTGTGTGTGTGTGTGTGTGTGTGTGTGTGTGTGTGTGTGTGTGTGTGTGTGGAGAATTATCGCGCTACGTAGAACGCCTCACACTGTACCGGTCACTCCAGTTAAACACAATTGAGTTAAGTATGAGTAATTCGTGACGCTGACAAGTTCCGCTCTAGGACTTACTGTCCACTAGAAGGTAAAAAAGAATCTATGCACGAGGATACAATATGGCTGAAATTCCTAGCTTAATTCCAGGAGAGTTTAGGCTATATTGTATATGGTCCTGTATGGCTAACCATCCTGCGAGATGGGGACTTTTAGTACCACTGCTACCTTATTCACTCTTGTGTTGATGATATCCTCATAATGTGTCTGCCAGTGCAGATTACTGTTCACATGCCTCTGTATGACTAACCATCCTGTGTGATGGGGATTTTAGCCAACGTAGCTAGCTTCTGACACACACTGTACTCCCCTTCATATAGTCTAGGGCAGCTAGTTCTTGACACACACTGTACTCCCCTTCATATAGTCTAGGGCAGCTAGTTCTTGACACACACTGTACTCCCCTTCATATAGTCTAGGGCAGCTAGTTCTTGACACACACTGTACTCCCCTTCATATAGTCTAGGGCAGCTAGTTCTTGACACACACTGTACTCCCCTTCATATAGTCTAGGGTAGCTGAACAAATGCAGATGTACCTAAATGAGTTAATAAAAA